TTTACCACTCTACTAAAGCTATCTCTTCTTTGAACATGTACCTCTATTTTGCAGAGAAAATAGAGACTGTTAGGGAGGCAACTTTCATGTTAGCTTGCTGTTTTTGCAGATAGAAGTCTATCTGAAGCCATGTTACTATTAATACAAATTAATTTTTCCCACTTTAGTGTAAATGGCATCAGTTTCTCTCAAGTCTCATTTCCCAACCAGAGCTCTAAATTTCTTCATAAAAAATCATCCCTATGATTTATCTCTAAGCTAACCATTTTTATTACCTTTTTTCCTCTTAAAATAAGCCCTTCTACAATCCCACATCTCTCTACTTTATCAGTTCTTTTACACGCTCCTGTTTCTTCATTAATGAACTCCTTTTCCTTTCCTCCTGTTTACTCCATAGTGGAATTAGGTTTCTAGAAATACAACTTTACTGAACCATTCTTATCAAGTACAATGAATGTATTCATAAGTGCCTTAATTTCCCTGTATGATATGATGCTTACATCGCACATTCCTTTTTAAAGAAATGAATGATATGGGCTGGGCGCTGTGGCTCACGCCTGTAATCCTAGCACTTTGGGAGGCCAAGGCGGGTGGATCACGAGGTCAAGAGATCAAGACCATCCTGGTCAACATGGTGAAACCCCGTCTCTACTAAAAATACAAAAAATTAGCTGGGCATGGTGGCGCGTGCCTGTAATCCGCTACTCAGGAGGCTGAGGCAGGAAAATTGCCTGAACCCAGGACGCAGAGGTTGCGGTGAGCTGAGATTGCGCCATTGCACTCCAGCCTGGGTAACAAGAGTGAAACTCCGTCTCAAAAAAAAAAAAAAAAAAAAAAAGAATGATGTAATTAACTTGTATTTAATAAGCTTTTGTCATTTCTAGTGATCTCATATGAGATCCCTTCTTTTTTTTGCAAGAACATTAGAAATTCAGTGGATTCATTGATAACCGAAATGTCTATCAGTAGTCATAGGAATGCTGAAGAAAATCTTTTATTATTATCAGTGGCTGGATTTTGTATCACTTACATATAAATCAGCAGGTACTTTAAGGATAACATTATAGTTTTCATTTACAACATGTTTTTTTATTCAATCAGTTTTGATGAAACATTTAACAAGAAAGTGTACCAGTGTGGCAGGGCCAACTCAACCTCCTAGCATGAAAACTCTTGTGTAATTCTCTCCCCTTGGGTTTGGGCTTGAATTACCAACTCAGTCACATTAAATGGAACAAGATAGACATTATGGGATATCACTTCAGGGTTAGGTTATGAAAAATCCTGGGCATGCATTCTCTCTCTCCTTAATGGATTACTTCCTTTGAAAAAAGCGTGCTGCCATGTCGTGGGACAGCCCTGTAGAGATATCTAAACGGTGAGGAACTGAGGGAGGCCTCCAATCAACAGTCAGCAAGAAATCAATAGCTAGTCCAATCTCTTGAGGGAGCAAAGCCTGCCAAAAATCAAGCAAGTGGGCTTGGAAGTATATCCTCCCCAAACTGAATCTTCAAATTGGGTCCTTTTCCGGAAGCTTGACTACAACCTTAGGAGAGACCCTGAGCCAAAGGCACTCAGCTGAGCTATACCTGTATTGACCCACAGAAACTGTGTAATAATAAATATTTGTTTTAAGTCCCAAAAGTTTGGGGAAATTTGTTACACTGCAATAGAAAAGTAATATAACATATCTGACTTTAGTTCAAAGAGGAGTCTTTCTCTGTAGCAATGTATTGCTCATTTCTGTATTAGATAATGATGACCCTTCTCAATGGTATACTCTCCTTTAGTCACAGTTAAAAGTGCAAAATCTATTTACAATTACTTAAGAAGTTATAAATTTAATTAGGCTATTAGAAATTCAGGACAAGTCCTCTTTGAATTTAGATTTTCAAAAGAATGACTAAAACTGAAAGTACAGTTTTAAAACCAGTGACTGTAAATGCCTCCTGAGTTTACAAATGAATAAAAGTCTGAGAATTATACATGCAAAGAGGGAAGGTTTTAACTACTGGCAGATCTCTCTAATGAACTATCTTGTCTAGTTCTAATTGATAACACAATACCTGGAACAGGTATTTTCCCCTAGATTTTAGTAAGCAGCATGCTTGCATCTTGCTGAGAGGAACCCAGGTAATAAACCTGATACCCAGCCAGCAACCTTCAGTCTGATGAAGCAAAGAAATGACACAGGGGTCAAAATGTAAATGTTTGCCAAGAAATAGAGAACTTTGCTCCCAATTTCCCCTGACTCCAAAATACTCAGAATAAAACTAGCAGAAAGTCAACTGGACATCCATTGACAATAAAGAAGCATAACAGCTGTTCAGCTAAAAGTATATTACAGTATATTACAATGACATATTAAAAGTGTTTTTAAAGTATTTTAAAAATAAAGCCCTAAAAAACTAGTCTCTTAAATAAGGTGAACATATTTTATGCCTTAAAGTAATTCAAAATATTGGTCTTAGAAATATTTATTTAAAAGTCAATTAGAACATATATTCCAATGTAAATTGGAAGAAGATTAAAAAAGTCCATGAAATATATTCAAAATAAAGAGTAAATAGAATGCACATTATTGATCAAAAGGAAGAATTAGAGTTGAGCTAATCCTACATTAGTAATAATATAGTAATCTCAAAATAAATAAAATGGTTTAGCAATTGTTAGATTTTTCCTTTCATAGCTTTTTAAGTCCGTTTCCAGTTTAGATTTTGTTTCTGAATGATTTTACCTACATTTTATGTTTATTTTCTTAAGTCAAATATGTCATTATGCTTCTTGTTTGCACAAAATCTGTAATAACTCACACCACTAATAAATAAATGTCACATAGTTAGCTAGGCTTGCCAAACCTTCCAAGAGGTGTTCTTGCAGAGTAATAAAACAGGCAGAATCTGTGTCCAGCTTTCCATGTTTGTATGATGGCTTCACTACTTAGCCATATGATGGGCATGGGAACTAAAGTTCTTTGTATTTCAATTTTGTTATCTATAAAACAGGATAATGATTTTAATAAGCACAAATGTGTATTGTGAAGATTAAGAGAAATAATCCACAAAATATCCTGGTCTATGATGAGTACTTCATAAATGTCAACTATTACTTTATTATTGGTATTATTATTGCTATTTGAGATTCAAAGTAACTTAAGATTATGAATGTCTGCCTTCTGGTTGAAGATACTAGGTATGTTGCCTAATTTAACCCAAACTACAGCTTTCTGAAATAAGAGTTGCTATTCTCATTTTACAGATAAGGAAACTGAGTTTCAGACATTTTAAGTGACTTCTTGAAAGTATTATAGTGATTAAGTGCTACAGCCAAGTTCCAGCCCAGGTCTCCTGACTTCATGTTTATAGTAGTTTAACTTCGTAGGAGCTTTCTGGCTGGGCACAATGGCTTATGCCTGTAATCCCAGCACAGGTGGAGGAGGGAAGATTGCTTGAGACCAGCCTGAGCAACATAGCAAGAGCTTGTCTCTATAAAAAAAAATAAAAATAAAAACAAATTGTAAAACAAAACAAAAAACCCAAACGCTATCCTTTTAGGCTTGTCACATATTGCTCTAATGTGAAGAATACTAGTTAATAGTATTGGGTATGAGTTTGAATCCCAGCACAACCATTTACTTGGCAGTTCATACAAACTTCTTGAGGTTCAGTTTTCTCCATGTACAAGACGGAAAGTGACATTCACTTTTACAAACTTAATTGAGATTCAATTGAGACTCTTGTAAAATGATTGACATTCACTTTTACAAACTTAATTACTTAGATTAAATAATATGGTGGCTGGCATATACTATGTGCCCATTTGTATTAGTTTATATCATATATATTTATACTATTATTTTATTAACTTATATAAAGACACTAATGTAATCCTAACTTCTCACATTTTACTTCCTTATTACCAGTGCCTTAACCCTCCCTGTGCTAATCTCTGCTTATTGAAAACATATCCCTTTGCATACCCAGAGAAATGTTCTCTTTTTGTATTGATGCATTGACTCATTCCTTACCTAGATACAGATCCACAATCCCTGCTTCAAGCTCTTTGGGGTTAGATATGCTTCATTATTCAGACTTTTGTATTGTGTTAGAAAGGTGAGAGAATATATCACTTGTATTATATTATGTGATACCTCCTGCAATGGTCTGGAGTAGAATCCTATTATTAAGCACAGTAATATTTTTGCTGCAAATGGTATAAATGCTTACACTCATTTGGATAGAGACTATAAATAAGTTCATATCAGTTCAGGTTATATATCAGGTTAACATGAAATGCCAAATTATTTAAAAAATTTGATAAGCAGTTCAGGATTTTAGAATTGCACATAAAATGGTAGACCTGTGTGATCTTTTCCCTCACAGAGTTCACTGGGTCTACCCTCAGTATAATGTAGTTCTTTGTCGAGCACAATTGTGCATCTACGTATCTTATCCTCTGTTGTTGTACAAGGTCTCCAAGGAAAGGAAATGTATCTTTATCTTTGTATGCTCTGCAGGATCTAGAATGTTCTTAAATCTTATCAGGTGTGTTTGGCATACTTTAAAAACATGGAAAAAGAAACAGTATTTCAAATATGTGGATGGTGCTAAAAATAACTACAACATGGAAACATGGCAGCGTTACTTTTCATCGTGATTAATATGCATTGAGTCATTTTCAAAGCAAATTTTTTGGAAAAAAGCAGCCTAAGTTATGCTGTGTCAATTCCATGAGATCTTGTAAAGAATTTAACTCATAGAGGGTCTGTCTAATTTAGAATTTCAAAAGAAAGTAGGCGTTGCTCTAAAAGGTCAAATTTTAATCTAAATTAGATGGTGGGGAAAAATTCTTAGTATCTTATTTTGCAATATGCAGATAAGTCATTGAAAAAGTAAATTGTAGCATTCTTTGACAAAAATTGTTTTAATGCTGTGTGTTTATGACCTTTTTTCTTTAGTTATCATTAACTTTATAAGAATCAGTAATTATTGCTATCTCACCTATATGTTGTCCATACATGTGATAAAAGAAGCTGAAACAATATGCAGTGTTTGTGGGTCCATAAGGGTTTTTGGGAGCTATGCTGAAAACAGGGCTGAGAAGTCGAGCCTTTTCGCCTTCCAATCTGGGTCGTGATGTCTCAATGTACATATAAAAACCTTAAAACAGACAAAATAAAGTGTTTAAACACATTAGTCTTAGGCATAATGAAATTTCAAATCACTGAGAAGTCTTATAGTTTTCATACAAAATAAAGATGGATAGGAAGATTTGCATCTCATTTATAAAATCTGTATGTGTATATATAACTAATAGTGGTGTTAACATAAAGAATAAATGATCTACCAAATTAAAGATAAAATGTATAAAAACTTGAGACCAAATTCGAAATTTAGACTTGAATTATCAAAAAAATTCCTATTCTCTCTACTATACACATCAGTGAGTTCTGAAAAAGAAATCATGTCTAATAAGTTTTGTAAATATCTACATTGATACTGTATAGGAAATTTAATATTTTATTCCATAATCTTCAAATATGTGGCTAAATATTAGTATTTCATATTTGTAACAGTTTTTAAAATTCCCTGATTGCCATGAACACAACAGTTCATACCCTCATACCTTCTTTGGAGCCACTACGGTCAGCATTAGGTCCTGTATTAGGAGTATATTTTGTATTTCTTGTTGCAGTACTTTGTTTGGTCCAGTCAAAATTATCTGTATCATCTTGAGTGAACAAACAAATATTGCCATCTTCAAATCCACAATGAAATTCTCCTGTTGATACATTATAATTAAATTAATACTGAATAAATTAATACAAATGTTGCAATATTTTCATAAGAAAAATGTAAACTATTATACAGCAATAATAATGCAAGATTGTGATAATGGCATGACAGCCATAATAGTGCAACTATTGCACTCTATGCACTATCTACAACTGTATAGATTACAGCTAAACATAAAAACAATCCAATTTTAATGAAAATCTAAAATAATTTACATATAAATTAATATCTTATAGAATATTTAAGACCCAAACAATTCTCTAAAACATCTAGATATCTGAAATTAAAGAATACAATTCATGCTTGAATTATAGCTGAATAATTTCCGCAACTTTCATTTTGTCAGTATAGAAACAATCAAAACAAAACTGTCAATTGGAAAATTACCTTTATTAATTTACCTGATGGTAGTTTTAAATAGGTATACTTTAAATTTATAATTTTTCATGCATGTCTACAGATGCTTTCTAATACCCACTTGCATAAATGGAAGTGTGCTTAGGGCAAGCAAACTATTTTGAAAAGTACTCATCTTTCATACTTTATCTAAATGTGGGGTCCCTGGATACTTGAAATTCATTTGAAACGAAGTAATTATAAGATATTTTAAAGATTTTAAGAAGGACTGTGATTTCTTGGATGCCTAACGTATGTTGAGTTCAGACCCAACACAAGTTCAGACAAAGACTTTTTCAACTATCTCTGAAATGTGGGTGGTAGTAGTATTTCCAGGTATCAAAGGTTTTCTTACTGGGATGTACCCTGCTTGAAAAATAGGTGTAAATAAAAAAGTTGTTAAGGTCTGCTAGAACATTATTAAAGAGTGTGTTTCCTTAAGAAAAAAATAAACGTAATGTATATTATTTCACTCAGCCTCATAACAACTCTATGAAATCACAATAATCCTTAGGCAAGAGGCTTACAGAGGAGAAAACTTTGGCAAAGGTCAGCTATTAAATGATAAAGTCAAATGGAAACCAAATTCCCTGGAATTCATGGAGATATAAACACCTAAAGAACAAAGACTTCCATTTTAGTCTCTCTCCAACCTACCTACTTGGGGTTAAATTTATTCGATATCCTTTGAAATGGAGCCCTGTTTGAGAGTATGTACCTGAATTAATTAAAAATTATTGGTACTTACAAATAAAAATAAAACAGAAGGCTTTCCTTTTAAATTTAGGGATTGAGTTTATGTTTTCTTTTTTGTATTTTAGACTAAACAATTGCTTTACCTCTTTGTCTTTATTTATATTCTATATTCTGGATAAGTAAAGTTATAGGAAATATATGTATTTAAGGGAGTCTAATCAATATATTAATTTCTGAATAAACAATATTCTACATAAAAAATTTATTAGACACATTTGTGCCACAGACCTTGTATTAAACAAGACATGACCTTTTGATGCTATCAGCTGGAAAAATAAGGTTGGTGACAGCAGTGTAGCAGTGTATGCATTTATATACATGCATGTATTTCTTTAAACATATTTTAGATATGATAGGAGATTTCAAACTGCTTTGGAGTTTTGAATCCCATAAAAGCAAAGTTTGATTTTGAATGTTCTCAGTTATTTAATTACATATTACATATGCACAAAAAGATGTCACAGAACAAATGTGAAGACTAAGGATTTCAGTTTATACATCTACTGCCAAATCTTACTTTTTATATGTTATTTAAGACTATGTATAATGAATTTTTATCACACTGTTAAACCACATTTTTTTTGTAATTTAAACTTGTTTAGAAAGATAACACAGCTTGTCTTCAAAAATCAACAATATAATTTTTGAAACAAAAATACGTGTCTTTCATAGTAAAATTAAGCAATAATGCAGCTTCTGAAAACTACAAAAAACGACAGTTGTGCCTAAAAATTTTCATAGTTTAGGCTATTTTTTATGGCGTAAGTTGTTTACAATATTATAACTAGTGTAATAATTCAAATCAAACAAAGATACTTAAGCAAGATCAATAGTCTTCATTCCTTCTAAGGACATATATCTTTACAGTAAATAAACCTATTACTGAAGAAAATTTATAAAAAGTTGGCAAGTAAAATGAAAATAAAACTCACTGGTTAAAACCCAGTAATTAATTTTTTTTATTGTTATACTTAAGTCCTGGGGTACATGTGCAGAACGTGCGGGTTTGTTACATAGGTATATACATGCCATGGCGGTTTGCTGCATCCATCACTCTGTTATCTACATTAGGTATTTCTCCCAGTGCTATCCCTCCCCTATTCCCCGAATCCCTGCTGTCCCTCTCCTAGCCTCCCACGCCCACCCCGAGACACACCCGTGTGTGTGATGTTCCCCTCCCTGTGTTCATGTGTTCTCATTGTTCAACCACTTATGAGTGAGAACATGTGGTGTTTGGCGTTCTGTTCTTCATGACTAAAACACCAAAAGCAATGGCAACAAAAGCCAAAATAGACAAATGGGATCTAATTAAAGAGCTTCTGCACAGCAAAAGAAACTATCATTAGAGTGAACCAGCAATCATTTAAAAAGCTTATTAGAATATAGGATATCTGATAGATAAAGAAAATGCAGTGAGCTGTACAAACCTTTCAAAAGTCAATGTAATATTAAATAGTAAAAGAACTTATAAAATAGGAAAGTAATGAAGTCCAGGATTTTTACAAAGATAATAGAACTGAGAATTGAATGAATCTTGAATTTTCTACTTCTTTTCTAATTACAACATGATTTTGGCAGAGTTTCAAGAGCTACACAGAAATAACTAAAGATATTTTAAATATTCTCCATTATGTGGTCTTCAAAATTTTGCTTTATTTGGTCTGCAGAAATTTCTCTGAATCCTTCTCAATATAATGAAAAAATAAAAATAAAAACTCAGGAATAAGAAACCTGATACCTAGTGGTCATTTTGTACCCACAGACACTCTTTGGTCCTTATTTAAGCTTGTAAAAATCTAATCTTAAAAATAAATAGCTCTGATTTAAAATATTTCTTCACGGTAAATCCTCTGTTGATTTAAAATTATTTTCCAGGGACAGGGAAGTTTTCATATATGGGAATATTTTTAAGGTAGATACATATCATCTTATAATATTTAATATAAAACAAAAATAACTTTTCAGAAGTCCCCAAATTTAACAATTTTACAGATTTCATAACCTAAATTAGACCAAATACGTTGGAGTGTAAAGTAGTGTTCTATGAAAGAAAGTCTCAGTTAAACCCATCAAATAGCAACTTTCTAAGTAATCATACTCGTATAAGTGGAATATAGAAATTCAAAGAAGGAAAATCAATAAATGCATAACAACAATAAAAATAATATGCAATCCCACACAAAAAAAATCCCACAGCTGCAGAAATCGCAAATATTGAGCAGGTTGGCAAATGGCTCCATATTTCAATATTTAGGAAAACCTATAAACCTCAATTATCAGTATTAAAAGACGTGTTTTTATATCCCTATCCTTTGAATTTTAAACTCTACATTTAATGCCAATTTTGCTGATTCTGAGCAATTGTGTTTTAAACCAATCTTTTATACAAAGATTGCTAAACAATTCTTTGTAAAAATGTTCTGTTCTTCATATTTATTCAATATAGTGCTATTTTGTAAGTGAAAATATACTTACTCAAATGAGGATTTACAGGAGCTACAAGAAAAGCAAAAGGAACAACAACAAAAAAAACAATGTTAGCATGGCTTGAATGTCTTTTATTTATAAAAGTCTAATCAGTGTCTCATAGTTCCTTACCAAAAATTAATGATCTTTCCCACTGTGGCCATTCAGATTTATTTCTGCAATCCATTTTGTTTTAGAGGATTGAATACAATCTGCTTTGGAGCTCAGCAATAACAACTTCTAATTACCAAAAAGACCTATTCTCAATAGCATGGGAAATTTTCCTTTTTCAAGAGTTTCTGACCTCTTAAATATTTTAACCAGTACTAAACAAATATACTCAGATATCAAAACTGAGACTGACAGTAGGCCAATCTGTAATGTAGATGATTTAACAGTGAAAACAATTATCTGGCAGAATTTTGGCTTTTGTTTTCTGTTGATTTCTACTTCTGAGAGTAAAGTAGAGAGCTCACGGCATATATGAAAATAAAGCAATCCTGATACCATGTTGTAATATGTGTACTAAAATTAATAACAACATCAGTGCCTTTTTGTTTAATTACATTAAAATACACTCATACATACACACGTGTGCATGCATACAGAGTTAAAATGATGAGCAACACATTTTGTGTTTTGGGGTACCAAAATAATTTTTTTCCAAAAAAGTAATTATATCTGCAACACAAGTACCAATGAATTTCCACTCAAAGAGTAATGAATACTTGAAATATTACTAACACTTCAACAAAAATATGTCTCATCTAAGACAAATTTGTATCTGTATGTATCAATTAACCACTTATTACTCTGTGAGAAAATTCTATTCTGGATGACGGAGAGCGTTGATGTACTTCCCCAAGATTACAATGGGCAGTTAATCTATAGTGCAGAACTTGTCTAATTTTCCATTGTCATTAACTGCCTTTATTATACTTGTGCAATACTAATAAAGTATTATGGACAAAAATGTTCATAATTGTAACATTAGTATACAAATGATGAATTTTAACAGAATAAGTTTTTCAATTATTTTCAGTATTCCTACATACAGAAGACAATTCCCATTACTGTAGTTGTTTTTCTGATTCTACATTCCACATTGCAAATTACGAAAAGAATAACAGAAAAGGAACTGAAAGTGAACTTAAAATAACAATTTTATTTTATAGCAAGATATCAATGTATTTTAAAATTAGTAAAAATTAAAATTATTCCATAGGTAATATAAAATTAAAACAATTATATGCTATCTTTCAAAGATGTAAGCATTCTTGAATTATAATTTAGTTCTAAGATAGGTTGTATGTATATGTAAAGCTCTTACTAGACTGAGTTTTAATGGAGTCTTCTCCTCCAACATTTTAGTCATCAAATTCACTGTACATAATGCAGTTAACTTTGTGGAAATTTGCAAGTCTAACTTCTAAATATTGCAGCAAGTTCATTTTCTTCTTTCATTTTAACTTGCATGAATAATTTTTGTACATATATATTATAGACTATCTGTCCCCCAAAAATTCATATGCCACTGCTTAGTCCCCAGTATAATTGTATTTGGAGATAAAGCCTTTAGGGAGGTGATTAAGATTAAATTAATCTTGGCCCTAATCCAATGGGATTAGTGACCTTATAAGAGGAAGAGGAGACTCCAGAGAGCTCTCTCTGCCATGTGAAGAAGACAGGGTGAAATGGTGACCTTTTATAAGTTAGGAAGACAGCTCTCACCAGAAGCTAACTATGCCAGTGCTTTGATCTTGGACTTCTCAGCCTCTACAAGTGTGAGAAATAAATTTGTGTTGTTTTAGCCTCCCACTATGGTATTTTGTTATGGCAGCCCAAACAGACTAACACAATGCCTCTAAACCATTAAAGTATACATTGCCCAAACCTGTATTACATAAAAATAATTTTAGTAAAAAATGTTGGAGGTCTTAATATGTATACCTAAGTATGTAAAAACAATTTTGAAAACTTGGTATTAAAAGTAATACCTATTTTCCACATCTATTTTTTATTTTATTTTGTTGCCTCAAGAGTTTTCAGCAACAACTACTGAGCTTATTAACTTTCTAAAATCTCTTTAAGTAAAGTCATAATGATCAACTAACCTTAGCAAGAAAGTAAAGATCTCTAATGGAGTGGGGAGCCCTAAATCTAGTCAGTTCTGTCATTTCACAATTTATTATCTGTGCAGGACACTGAAACTTTCTGAGTCCCAACATCTTCATCTTTTAAAGATACTGATACTAATGCATTCTACATTATACATCTTACTTTTTTGGTATAAATTGTAAGTATAAACAACTTTAATGAGTTTTTAATAGTTTTACTTCATTTTTCATGTTTTACAATAGTCACTACTTCCCCCTTTAGCAGGAAACATATATTTAAGGGTAAACACAATGGAGAACTTCAGGTGCAAACAAAGCATTCTATTATCTTTTAAACTCAAACTCTGATAATCAATGATAAAAAGAATCACATTCGACTGGGATCTGTGGCTCATGCCCGTAATCCCAGCACTTTGGGAGGCCGAAGCAGGTGGATCACCTGAGGTCAGGAGTTTGAGACTAGCCTGGCCCTGAAGAAACCCCCTCTTTAATAAAAGTACAAACATTAGCTGGGTGTGGTGGCGGATGCCTATAATCCCAGCTACTGGGGAGGCTGAGGCAGGAGATTCACTTGAACTAGAGAAGCAGAGGTTGCAGTGAGCCGAGATAACGCCACTACACTCCAGCCTGCAAGACAGTGTGACTTCATCTCAAAAAATATTTATAATATTTCACTGAAGCAATATAACAAATAGGAACTGTTTTAACAATGATTAATTCAAACCTGAAAAATACTTTGAACAATCTAGAGCTAACATTGAATACTACAATTATAAAATACACAAAAATTTCAATTTTTAAAATATGGCTGTCTTTAGTATACAGTAAAATAACATATCTAATTGCCATTGTTTCTCTTTGAGATATTCTAGATAAAAGTTTTAGATCCACTTCTTTTTGAAAGTTCCTCACTAATTTCTATGTTTGTCCAAATAGGACATTTAAGTAGTGAAGAAATATTTTATGCATATAGTGATTAAAAATAAAACTATCACTAACACACACACACAAACATTTAGCATTTTTTAACGTTAGCAATATGAAAAACGAATGGCCACCAACAACCAAAACCAAAATCCAGCAACTAAGATGTCTTTTGACATGTACATAAATATACAAACTGTGGTACATTTATGCAATGGAGATTATTGAATGATAAAAAGATATGAGCTATGAAGGCCCAAGAAGGCACACAGAAGTCTTCTGTATTTTAAGTGAAATAAGGCAGTCTAAAAAAGCTTAAACTGCTACATGCTGTATGATTCCAAATTTATAACATTCCCGAAAAGAAGACATTATACAGAGAGTAAACATGTCATTGGCTGCCTGGACTGGAGAAGGGGGAGATAAATGGGTAGAGCGTGGGGGTTTTTTGGGCAGTGAAACTATTCTGGGTGATATTGTAATGGTAGAGAAATGATATACACTTGTCTAAATCCATATAAATGTACAACACAACTGTAATGTAAACTATTGATTTTAATAATGTCTCAGTATTAATCAATTTTTATAAATGTACCACAGTAATGTAAGATGTTAATAATGGGATATTGTTTCAGGGAAAAGGGGCTCTCCATACTTCCTGCCAATTTTCTGTAAACCTTATACACTACTCTAAACCTGAAGTCTATTAATTTTATTTAAAAAAAAAACAGAAAAAAATTGATATTTTTTTTTTTACTTTTTAATAACATAAGTTCTAAAGTCATCAAGAATTTGAAAAGATAAAATGCAGACAAATATAGTATCATAACTTGTAGGATCAAAAATAAAGACATTGCTTATATCACATAGGTTCAGAGTTAACTAAATTAGCCTATGTATCTACATTTGTAATCAAATGTTACATTTATGGTGATTAGAGTTTTGGCTTTTGTTTGTTTAGTTAACAGGCTAATGACCCAGAAAGTCAATACGATAAATTTTACTTTGTGTCTAAATTTGTTAGATAGCAGCAACCAAAATTTTCCATATAGTTTAACATATAAATAATTTTAAATAAAAGGCTACTTACCACTATATTTGATCACACGAATTGTTGAATCTCCTTCACCAAATTTGGTGAGAGGAGTCAGTCGGACTTCATAAGCTTCTGGTTTAATTAGCTCTGTCAAGTTATATGTAATTAATTCTCCCTTTTGAATATTCCCATTTATTTTAATCTCCTGCTCCCACCAACGCTGCTGCCCAGCCTGAAATCAAAACAATTATATAATAATGTTCACAGACTGTTCTTCAGAGGTACCAAGAAAATTGAAAACAAATTCTGAAATTTTATTAAATGAAAAAATATATTAATACATATTATTAAAGTTCAGGTGTCTATAATGAGAAACAAATTTTGAAGATGTTTACATGCAGATGTTTGCAGGTAATTGCCAAATGATCAGAGGTTCATTAAACAGATTTAACAGATTTACTATATCACCTAATATTTAGTAAGAGTCAGAAATTTCAAAAGTATCTCTGATTTGCTAGTTGGGAGAGATTAAGTTTAGCTACTTCTTAGAACTCTTTATCACATTAGTAAACATATACATTCCATATATAACAGTTCCTGTATCATCTGTGCATTAGAAATATAAAACAAAGACTAAATCCTTAACTTTTTCAAGTCTATTAAAAAGACAGGCACAATAAACAAATGTATACTATAAAATTTCAGTTATATGTCCAATAAAGAAAAATAAAAAATCACAAGCGGATTAAGAGTCATAGTGGGAAGGTTGCAGAGGGGATCCTTTTATCTAGTTAATCAGAGGACATCTCCATAAGAATGTTGGAAACTTAAGATGAATGCTAGGAATTTTCCATTGGATTTGGCAAGAGGGAGCAATTGTCACCTTGAAATAAATGGTGTCAGAATAATGAAGATGAAAATGTGATTGCAATATGTTAGAAGAAGAATGAGTTTCACAGTGCTTTTCCCACTCTAAAAAATCACAATGCTCAGATAATTTTATAGCACAGTTATCAAAATGTTCAGGAAACAATTCTAATCTTTTATAAAATCTTGCAGGGATTCTTAAAAACACTCTCCAGCTATATTATTTAATTTAAACAAAAAATAGGATTGTACGAGAAAGAAAAATATGTATACAAAGTAAATTCATTAAGTTTTAACGGTCATTTTATATCCAGTATTGTTTCTCTTGCAAGGATGTAAGGATTGCTTAACTTTGGAAAGTATATTAACATAGTTAACTGGTAAAAGAAGAAAAAACCTATTTCTACTAGATGGAGAAAAATTTGGGAAACAACCACTCATATTTACAATAAAACTATTAACAAGCTAGAAATAGAAGGCAACTTGATAAAGATGATCCAACAAAAAGGTAGATGATGTTTTATTTTTAATGCTTACATTAGAATTTGTTTAGAGTTACAACTGAGAAAATGTTCAACATAATCTATTTAAAATTGTACTTCAGCAACAATAAAGTATATAATACTTGGAAAAACAAAAGCAAAATAGATCTATAGAGCTATGTAGGAATCTCTCTCTGTGTTTCTTTCTCTCTCTCCTTTTCTCTCGCTTTATCCTTCCATATACATATAATACTTGAATGTCTTTTACAAGCACTCTGAAGCTTTCTTTATTAAATTTATGCATATAATTTATTAGATGAGATACTAGGTAGCCCACAGCTTTGTTATTATAAATTGTGATTTTAAAACTATTAATATTTTAATGACTTATACAATAGTGATTTTTTAAATTGTCCTTATATTCATATATATATATACATATATTTATATATAACAAATACAGTCCCCCCCCATATATATATATGTATAAATACACGCATAATCCTGCTTTGCCTTGTAATATGTGTCTATTATTTTTCATACCTGAAATCTATGGTGTCCTTTTTCATGGGGCTTTTCTCCTTTTATTTGCTTGGTTATTTTTCACTGGGTGCTGATAATGTAGCTTAAAATTCTATTATTGGGGGTTCTCGGAGGCCTATGACAAAGACATATTCTATAGATATACTGTTGTTTCTGACATGCTCCTAAGGGCATCAACCATATGGTCTACTTTTACTTTGATTGTGAAACTCTTTGTTGTTACAAAGAGTGGAGAAGATCCCTTGGTTGGAGAAGGCCTTGAGTTTGCCTTGTTCTCTGCCTCAGTACTGTCATACACATTAACATGGATAAATTTCCCAAAACTAATATTGAACGAAAATGAATTTTGAAGTAGATATGTTATAAAATTTAGTTTTAAACTATGTATTTTAAAGAGGATGTATAGATGTATGTATTAAAGTATAAAGAAATGAAGAGAAATAATAAACAGTTCAAGGTACGGTTTGCATAGGTTAGGAGAGTGTCAAGGGAAAACGATGCAATTGTGAGTGGTAAAGAAAGGACTTCAACTCTACTGGGTGATTTTTTGTTTTGTTTTGTTTTACACTAATGGTAGATATAAAAATTATGATTACATTATTTTGTGTAGGCCTGAAATGTTTCTCTGTTTTTAATAAAGACTTAGAGAATAAGAGAGAGAAGTAATTTTGAATTTTCTTAAAACTCTTTCTCCCTAGACTTCCATGACAGTGGTCTCGCTCATATTACTTCCCATGTCTGCATCTTTGGTCCTTATTTTCTTTTCCTGTGTTCTCAATGTTGATGTTCTCTAGAATTTTAAATTTGGTGTTTTTGGTACTTTGTACTAGTGGTTCTCATATTTCTGCAAGCATAAGAATCACTGGATGTCACTGTTAACCAAAATTCTAGGTTTCAACCATCAGTAAATATGGTTCAATGAGATCTATAAATATAATCTTTAAAAAGCATCTCCTCTCCCACATAGTAATTTGGATACAAATAATCCAGAGGCTACATTTGGTGAGGCACAGATTAGTCCTGCTAAACCACCTCATTACTACCGGGAGCTTCCTCTAATATCTCTGTATTGATAACTCCCTAACTTGTATTTTAAGCTCAGAAAATTAAGAAAAAATACATCTATTAGTCTACCATGTGCTACTATTTTAACTGTATTATGCTTATCCTCATATTTAATATACCACAAACCCTAGTAAGTAGTAACTATACTTAGTCCTATTTCATGAATGAAAAACTGAGGCAGAGAGAGGTTAAGGAAACTCTCTTAAGTGGCAGCTTCAGAATGTGATTAGACCCAAAATGACTCTTTCTCCTTTGTTTTCCCTGAATTTATTGCTCTTTTAATTGTTTTTAGCAGAGCCCTTATATATTTAGTTATAATACACTATGTCTGGTCATTAATTTGATAGAAATGTGATGAGATTAAGTGCCAGCATACAATGTATATTTAACTGGCTTCCAAGGAGTACAGCAGAAAATCCAAGTTATTTCAGTGAAAACTGCGTACAGTCACTGAATTTACATACAGTGGTGAATGATAAAAAACCTAATTTCACAGAAAGTACTTATCTTTCATAAATAAGCATGCATAGTTAATACTAGGTATTATGAAGCTTCTTTCAGTTATGTAGGCTAAAATTCTATAACATAATATAATTGACAATACTTTTACCGTTTTAAAATTTTAGATATTTATATATATGAATAATAGACAAAGTGCTATGATTTTTAAAGACAGATAAAAGCAATTTAAACACACAAAAATATTACAGAATAACTTATTTGACATTTTACTGTTACCTAAAGACACACAAGTTTAATCAAGGTGTACTTTTCTGGGTGTTAATATAAGTTTAAATAAGAGTTTACTGCCACTGAAAATTTGAAGTACATCATAAAGGAGACACTGCAGTTATTCTCTTCTTATAACGAGTGTTCTACTCAAGTAATTTCTCAGCAGATACACTGATGTTGTTACTTATTACAAGCTCCAATGTCCATAACTCGATATGTGTATTAAAAAGCAATAACTTTGATTCCAAGTCTCTAATATAAGCTGTAATGAAAACATACACTTCAGCAGTTGGCAGAATAAGCAGTTAAATACTTCATATTGTATCTCAGCTGTGCAAAATGTAAAACTGGAAAACTAAATGTAATGTTTGCACATACACGAAAGGAAATGCAATATTATTCCACTTACTGAAAGTAATACCAGAAAATCCTCAGAGAAGATAGGTTCTAAACCATACTGCAGATAACAGCCCCAGATCATACTTACAAGCATGATGATATGTAACTGTGAAACTATTTTCTTCATGTCAATTTAAAAAATCCATTTAATTTGTCTTGTTTCCCCAGGAGATCTATTCCATTCATATGATTTAGAGGTTAGCCTAAAGATCCCCAAGTACCCTAAAGTGAGGCTTTTTATTAAAAGCTGTAATTTGTTATTTTTACTACAGAGGATAATTAAAAAGCTATTGCTGAAAAGGTCTCAGGAGGAAAAACCATGTTAATTTTTTCTCTTAATTATCTCTTCTCTAAGAAACAAAATTAGCTCATTTAAAAGCAGAAGTATGCAACAGATTCTGAAATATGAAGGGAATAAAAGTGACCCTGTTTTCCTTTTTTTTTTCTTGGACTGTAAATCTTTTTAACCACTATAATGAGCTCCATTGAAAAGTACCAGGTAAGTGAAAACTAAAACAGAAGAAGAAATACAACCGAATACAAGGCACATATGTGTGTTTATTTCATTTATTTTTATATAACTCTGTAAGAGAGAGATTGAGATATCCATTTTATAGGAAACTTCTATTCATCTTTAGCAACCATACTGATAATAAAAATAATAGCTGACATTAAAAATCCAGGTACTACAGACCCTAAATCATACACATGAATGATTATCCAACGGAATGTGAACTCATTAAGGTGACATTTTCATGGATTAAAATCAAATTGTCCTATAATCCCAATGTAACACTGATTTTAAGGTAAACTATTATTTTAATAACCCCTTTTAGGGGAAAGGAGATAGTAAGTAACACGGCATTAAATGAATCTTATTTTTATTTTTGTCTAACAATAGCAAACATTTATTCAGTGAATTATATGTCTTGTCTTCTTTCATTATCACAGATTTGACTATTATCTTCTTTACATTCAGAAAGAATTCTGAGTAGGAACTTTTCACGTCATGGAAATATTTTGCTTATCATACTTTGCTTATGCTATTAACACCTTTAGAAGTGAAGGTGTATCTTTTAGATATCGAGATGTTTATAAATTTTTGTTTGCCATTGGTCTTTAGAATCTTGCATTATTTTTCTTA